AAGGAGGGAGGGTGGAATTGAGAGGAGATAGGGGAGGGGACTACAGTAGGGATACAAAGTGAATAAACTGTAATTAATAAAATAAAATAAAAATTTAAAAAAAGCTAGGTTTCAGGGCTGGAGAGATTGCTCAGTGGTTAGAGGTACTGAGTTCAATTCCCAGCAACTACATGGTAGCTCACAACCATCTGTGATGTGATCTGAAGCCTTCTTCTGGTGTGCAGGCACACATGGCAGATAAAGACCTATAGACATTAAATAAATAAATAAATAAATAAATCTTTAAAAAAGGAAAGAAAAGCTAGGTTTTGGGGGCTGGAGAGGGCTCAGCAGTTAAGAGCACTTGCTGTTCTTGCAGAGGACCAGAGTTCAATTTCCTAGACCCATATTGTCGAAAAGAACAGACACCGGAAAGTTGTCCTTATTTTACGTGTGTAAGTGTGTTGACTGCATGTCTGTGAACCATGTGTGAGTTGTGACAGAAGAGGGCATCAGATTGTTTGGAACTGGAGTTACAGATGGTTGTGAGCTACCATGTAGACACTGGGAACAGAACCTAGGTCCTTTGAAAGGGCAGCCAGTGCTCTAAATTCTTGAGCCATCTCTCTAGCCTCAAGAAAAACCTTGGGGTTCAAAACGCATCCTGATGTTTCAGTAATAGACTGTGATTTGCTGCCTTCAGGAGGAGGCTTTAGGATACCTCCTCAGGCAGTGTGGGAATGGATGGATAGAGCACTGCCTCCCACCCCATCCCCACTCCCCATCCTCCGTGCCATATTTTGACATTTCTTGTCCTGCCAAGAAGGTTGCAGGTTGTGTTCAGCCATGCTGATCTGAGGCCGTACTAGCCTGTGTTTCATTAGGTTATTTCCGTGCCTGGCCCCTGGGGATCTGACCGAGATGGGCTCTGACGACACGGTAGCCTCCAGGATAGTCCCTGTTGTTTCCTTTCTCAGTACCCTTTGCTCCGGTTCCCACTGTGCTGATAAGGTCCTCCCTTGGGCTTTCACTTTTAATTTGTTCTGGGGGAGCCTCCTCTGAGCATGCATTTCCTGACTATCAAAAAGCTTGGGGAAGAGGCAGGTCCATCCAGTGTCAGGCCTGACCTCCTGCCTCAGCCTCCAGGGGGCTACTTTCTCTACTTAGTCTTAGGGAGTCTGAGATTAGTTGGGTCTCATGGAAATGATTACTGTTATACAGTCTTTCCAAATTTACAAAATTTGTGGCCTAAAACCTCTTATAAAGTCACAGCAATGAAAAAGTCCAGCATGGAGACGCATGCCTACAATCCCAGCATTTGAGGAACTGAGGCAAGAGGATCGCTGCAAGTTCCAGGCCAGCCAGAACGACATCGTGAGACACTGTCTTTGGTTTGGCTTGGTGTCCCACATTCATGTACCACCCCGTGTCACTCAGCCACTTGAAGTATGCATTTAACACTCTCCCCCACTTGTTTATTTGTGGGATGGTGGAGGTCAGAGAACAGCCTGTGGGAAGCTGGTTCTCAGGGTCTACCATGTGGTCCCTCGACTCCAACGGTCCAGCTTGGTATAAGCACCTTTACCTGTTCAGCCATTTACTGGCCCAGTGTGCTAATATGTTATAGCGCAGGCTGGCCTTGAACTCTTATAGTGTTGGGTTCACAGGTACGAACCACCACACATAGCTCCAAAGTAATCTCTAAAGCTCAGAAAACTGTTTAAAATGAAACACTAACCGTATTGGTTTTAACTGTTAAGGGGGAAAGCAGAAAACTATGTCAAAATCTATGTGCTTCTCCCTGCACTTCCAAAGCTCTTTTCCTGAGAAAGCAGGTTGTCCCACGCAGCCCATTTTGTGCCTAGAAACAATGAAAGCCAGTCATGAAGCACTTAGTTAAACCAACTATGAAGAAGTACAGTTGGGTCTCCACTCACGGTTCAGCAAGCATCATGGGCAGTTGATTCTTGTGGATCTTGGATGGTTGATTGACGCCCACGGCATAGACTTTTTGGAGAAGCTGTGGTTTCCTAGGAGGAAAGGCAGAGACAGGTTGGATTTCTAGCAATTGAAATTGTTTGTTTATTTATTTTAGACAGGATCTCGCTGTTTAGCCCAGGCTGGCATGGACTTACTATTGTAGACCATGATGGTCAGACTCACAGAGATCCATTTATCTCTGCCTCCTATGTGCTGGGATAAAAAGTGTGGTGTTGTTTTAAAGAAAAACAAACATTTGGTTTTACCAGGAAAGACTCGTGAGCCAGATGCTAGCTCAGAGAGGCAGAGAAAGCACCCAGATGATCTTCCTTCTCAGCTGACATCCCAGAAAGAAAAAGCCCTTTCTTCTCCTTCTTCACTGTGACTTAAAAACCCTTCAAACTGAATGTCCCTCCTTTCTACTTCCTATGCGTCTCTCTGTCTGTCTTCCTGGCTCCCTCTCACTCTCTGTGTTTTTTTTTTTCCTATGTCCACTCCCTGTCAACTGGTTGCTTGGTTTGCCTCTTGAACTGTGGTTGACTTTATTAAACCATACAGAAAGCTTTTGCGTTGAAGTTGTGTGCTAGGACTGAGCCACACCACTACTAGAAACAGGTTTTTCCGGTATGCAGTCTTGGGGTGCCCAGTGTGATCAGATATCCTGCAACAGTGTGTGCCATCCTACCTGGCTTTGTTTTTGAGCCCCCTTTGATATTTTGGGACAGGGTTTCTTTGCGTAGCCTTGCCTATCCTAGAGCTGGATCTGTAGACCAGGCTGGCCTTGAACTCACAGAGATCTGCCTGCCTCTGCCTCCCCTGTGCTGGGATTAAAGGTGTGTGCCAGCATTCCCGGCTAGGGAGCCACTTCTTTTCTTCTGTGATGTGGGTTCCAGGGATTGAATTCAGTTCTGCAGGCATGGTAGAAAGTGCCTTTACCTCGAGCCATCCCAACACCTCTGCCATGTCCTCGCTCCCCTCAGCCTTGTGCTCACAGGCTTCTTCTAGCACTCTGGCTTTTCTCAGGTGATGGGATCGGACCAGAGCTCAAAGCTCACTGCCACACAAGGTCATGGCCATCATCAAGCACTTTCACATCTATAAGCATCATTTTCCCCACCTAGGATAATGTCTTCCCTATTGTAATATGCTAATACTAGTCCTTGATGGCTCTGGGGTTTAGCTCACTGAAGAAATTTGAGCCATCACAAACTGAGGGGGCAGGGAGTTTTGTTTGTTTTCCTTTTTTAAAAATTTTTTTATATTATATATATATTAATATAATATATATTTTCAATATATATAAATATTTATATATATATTAAATATTTTATATTTATTTATTATTTGTACAGCAGTCTACCTACATGTGTCCTTATGCACCAAAAGAGGACACCAGATCTCACTATAGATGGTTGTGAGCCACCATGTGGTTGCTGGGAATTGAACTCAAGATCTTTGGAAGAACATCCAGTGTTCTTAACCTCTGAGCATCGCTCCAGCCCCCTTGTTTTCCTCTTTTAAGTATGTATGTATTTACAGTTTCTGTGTATGGGTGTTTTTGTCCGCATGGATGGCTGTACATCTGTGCATGCTAGGTGCCCAGGAGGCCAGAAGTGGGTAACGGATCCTCTAGAAATGGAGTTACAGATGATTGTGAGCTGCCCTGTCGCTGGTAGGACCTGGACCCTGGTTTTCTGGAGAAGCATCCAGTATTATTAACCACTGAGCCATCTCTCTAGCTGCCCCTTTTTTAATTGATCCTTGTGTATGTGATGGGGGTTGTGGGGATATTATGAGGACTCAAATGCCATCAGCTGGAGACACTTCGTAGAGACAGTTCTGTCCTCCAGGTGGGTTCCAGGGATTGGACAAAGGCTGTCAGGTTTGTGCAAGCACTTTACTCACTGAAACATCTTGCTGGTTCTTTTGGTTTTTGTTTGTACTTTGAGGCAGAGTCTCGGATCTCTTGTAGCCCCCAGCTGGCCTCAGATTCACTACTGAAGAGCCCTCAGCTCCTTATCTTTCTGTGGATTCCTCCTGGGGTTGCAGGCTGCTGTCTGGCTGCCTTTTCTTTTCTTTCTTTTTTTTTTTTTTTTCTTTCTTTTCTTTTTTTTAAACACAGATCTCAAGACTTTGCCTTCCGCTGCTGCAGCAGCCAGAGAACCCTAGAATGTCTGGCTGGAGCTTTCAACAAGGAAGAGCCAGGGGTCATGTCAAAACCTAACTCTGGCTGGCTAGATTTAAAGAGATGGTTTAAGAGATGGCCATAGCATGGATTTAAGCTCATTTCCCTCAGGCTAGTACTCAAACAGCTCTGCAAGTGTCTACTGGGACAGCATGGAGCCTCGGGCTGCTGGGGCTAACAGGACTCTTAGAATTCATTTTGTCCTCAGTATGTAGATGAAGGTACCTGGCCAGAGGGCTGGTTGGTGGTTGTTCGAAGGCCAGAAGCCCCTATCTCCTGACATGTTTTTCCTGTACAGCAGAGCAGAAAGGATTGTTCACGGTTCACTGAACCAATCAGAAATGTTGCCTGTAAAATCCACACCTGAGAGATCAGGGACAAGTTCCTGCCAGCTTCCCGTGGGCACTAGAAGTTCCTGAGAGCACTCTGGGGGGGCTGCCATTATTCTGAGATCTTGGGAGTTTCTCTGGGCCAGTTTCTCCTCAGTTTTTCCTCAAAGTAACTACCCAAAGCTGGATAAGGTTTTCTAACGGGGTCAGAAATCCTTGCCATCAGGCCCAGGGGAAATTAGCTTATTTCTTGTTTATTCTCAGGCTAAACAGTGAAGGTCCTGTGCTAACTCAGACCCTCAAGCTGGGAGTTAGGCAGAGTGTTGCTCTCTGTGTATGGTTGGAGTAGAGAACCCTTTCTATTGTCTACCCATTTGTTAAGGGGCATTTCTTCTACTGCTGGCTTTGTCCCCTTTGAGGCTATGGGCGGGGCGTGTGTGTGTGTGAGAGAGAGAGAGAGAGAGAGAACGCATATGTATGTGTTCCTGCTGTCTATCTGCATATTCTTTTTCCTTTCTGAATTTCAGGGTCATGCTGTGCTCCTGACAGGTGAGGAAGAACCTGCCAGGGGATTACTGCTGGCAGAAGTCAAGGGCAGGACAGAGTCACCCCAGAAGCAGGGTTGGGCAGGACAGCTGCGCCGCCATCGCCAGCAGTCCCAGGAAGGAGTCTGGAGCCCTGGGGAGGACTCCACGCAAACTCTGCTGACCCACATGGCTCCTGAGGAGCCCACAGCAGGAGTAGGTTGGTGAGCGCCTCTGCAACTGCAGCTGGGTCCGCAATCCCCAGGAGAAAGGACCAGCACCTCCGATGGGAAGCAGTAGGCCGTAAGCTACGGAGAGGAAGGTCTTGATCTTTGCAGCAGTTTCTTGACGTCCATGAAGATTACTGGTTTTCTCTCTGGTCTCGGGTCAGGCTCCTTTCCCCTGGCCAAGGAGTTTGGGCCAGGAGGGCCTACAAGTGTGGAGAGGTCTGGCGCATGGAATGCTGGCCTCCTGAAGCCCGTGTGCTCTCTGCTGTGATCAGAGTTCCAGGGCTTCCCCACTGCGGGGGAGGAGGGGCTGCCTCAGCGTCTGCTCATGAGCCACAAGGACCCCGACTGCTCCAGACTGGACCTTTTCAAGCCACCAAAGAGGGGGGTTCCTGGAGCTGGCAGCCAGCACTCACAAGGGACTAGAGGGCTGGAATGGACTGACCTCTGCCTTGTCAGGGTCGCAGGAGAAGCAGAGCCTTTGTGGCCCAGCTAGTGACTGAGAGACCCAATGAAGCCCTAAGTAGAGGCTCCAGTGGCTCAGGGACGGGGGGAGGGAGGGGGGCTCTTCCTGTGGACCTTCTTTCTCCTTTTACCGAGGGAGGGTGTGGCAAGATTCCCCTGCCACACCTCGTGCCTCTATGCCCTTTCCACGTGCTGCCAAAGCGAGCAGGCTGCGCCGTGGCTGGCCCCATCGTGGGCTGGGAAAGGATTGGCCACGGTGACAGCTGCCCTGTGGCCAGCACCATGAAGTGCTCCCTCCGGGTGTGGTTCCTCTCCATGGCCTTCCTGCTGGTGTTCATTATGTCCCTGCTCTTCACCTACTCACACCACACCATGGCTACCCTGCCCTACCTGGACTCCTCGGGGGCCCTGGGTGGGACACACCCAGTGAAGCTGGTGCCGGGCTATACGGGACTACAGCGCCTCGGCAAGGAGGGGCTCTCGGGGAAAAGCTGTGCCTGCAGTCGCTGCATGGGCGACGCCGGCGCCTCTGACTGGTTTGACAGCCACTTTGACAGTAACATCTCGCCTGTCTGGACCAGAGAGAACATGAACCTCCCTCCGGATGTCCAGAGGTGGTGGATGGTAAGAACCGAGGGCCCTCCCGCTTCCCTTTCGCTGACTGCTTTCCAGAGCTGGTCCTCTTTATTTTGGAGCCACTCTGACAGCCCCCTTCTGGACCTAGGCTGTCTGTCCTATGACTCCCAGTGCCCTGACAGAGCAGGAAGCCCGTCTGTTCTGAGCTGTAGCCCCGGATCACAGATTGCCAACAGGCAGGATGAGCCTTGGCTTGGAAGGAAAAGAGAACTGCTGTTGCGCTTGTACGAGTCCAGTGTAGAGCCCCTCCCCCAATGCCGTTGGCCCAGGTAGACAGCACAGGCGGCCACAGCAGTCCAAGTGATAAAGTGGGGACCTGAAGGCCATGCCATAGATGAAGGGGTGCCTCTTAGGCAGCAGGTAGCCAGCCCACAGCTGCAGCAAGCGCCATATGCTACTCCCTCCAACTTCTTATTTTTCCCAGACTATTCTTACTAGGTGTGTGCACGTGTGTGTGTGTGTGTGTGTGCATGCGTGCCGCAGTGGGGGATGTGCAGGTGCCGCAGTCCACATGTGGAGATCGGATGCCACTTTGAGGCATTGGCACTTGCCTCTTCCTTTATGTGGGTTCCACAGACTGAACTCAGCTTGCCAGGCTTGTGCAGTGAGCACCTCTCCTCACGTCTCGCCTGCCATCCTCCGGCCTCTTAGCGGACAGACTCCAGGAGCCTGGGTCTGTGTGCACAGTATATATGCATGCTTTTGAAAAGGTTTTTATTTTAGTATGTGAATAAGTGTTCTGTGTGCATGTATTTCTGTACGTGCCCCAGAAGAGGGCTTTGGATTGTCTGAAATTGGAGTTACAGATGGTTGTGAGCCACGATGGGTGCTAGAAATTGAACCCAGGGCCTCTGGAAGAGCAGTCAGTGTTCTTATTGGCTGAACCATCTCCTGTAGATGTGCTGTGCATTTGTGTGTATGTGTGTGTGTACGTGCAGAGTTATGCTTGTGGAAGCCAGAGTTGTGGAGTATCTGACTCAGTTGCTGTCTACCTTTGTGTGTGTGTTTGCTTTTTTTTTTTTTTTTTTTTTTGTCCTGGAACTTACTCTGTTGATCCAGGCTGGCCTCCAACTCACAAAGGTCAGCCTGCTTCTGCCTCCCAAGTGCCAGATTAAAGGTGTGTGCCACCACTACACTGCACATTTTACCTTACTTGTGAGGTAGGGTCTCACTGAACCTAGAGGTCGATGATTTGGCTAGGTTGGCTGACCAGTGAGATTCCAGACATCTGTCCATCTTCATACCACTGGCACCAGGTTACAGAAATGCACTACCCATCTCTCTCTCTCTCTCTTTTTTTTCAAGACAGCATTTTCTCTATGAGGCCTTGGCTGTCCTGGAACTCACTGTATAGACCAGGCTGGCCTGGAATTCAGAGATCTGCCTGCCTCTGCCTCCCTGAGTGCTGGGATTAAAGGTGTATTCCACCACCACCATGCCCATCTGGCTTTTACATAGGGGCTGGGGGTTCGAGCTAAGGTCCTCCTTGCTTGCATGACAGGTACTTTTTATTGAGTACCCCCCTCCAGCCCAGAAATAATGGATTTTAAGACTAAATATCCCAATTGGTAAATGTTGGCTCAGAGTAATTATAAACACTTCAAGAGCCCTTCTTGGTTCTTTATAGTTGCTGGAAAAGATCGCCCTGGCTTGGGAGAGAACATTGTAAACCCCAGCAGAAGGGCCTGTAACAGGTCCACCCCTGTTTTCCTAGGTCCCACAGCCTTTTTGCTTTCCATGTCCTCCACCCTGCCCCTGTCATCTCTAGAGTGTCACTTCCCAGGATCTACAGGGCCATCTGGTTGCCTCCTGGGCCAAGAATGGAGCCTGTAGGCTGCCTGCTTTCCTTGGCATGGAGAGGCAGTTCCTGGTCCATGTTCAGCCAGCGTGGAAGCAAGATGACTCTCCTTTTATTTTTCATGGATGTGAGGACATACTCATTTATCCAGAACCTATTTATTGTCCCAGACTGTGAGAGTTCTCCAAGACCAGTGTCTGTGGAGCAGGGGTCAGGAGGAGCCCCACGGGCCCTTCTTGTAGCCGACTCCTGCTTGTCACTCACAGCTACAGTCTTTGTTTAATAGAGAAAATCAAGATTCAGAAAGTGCCCTGTGCCTGCCTGCCATCTTAGTCTGAGCAGTCGCCTTATAGAGCCAGACCTCTGAGCAGGTTTGGATTCCCAGGGGACAAGACAGGCCTCTGATCACAGGAATGGAATTCGGAGGCTGTCTAGGCACTGTGTTGCTCAACCCGTACATCTTCCTGTTCCCCATACCAGGCTTCTGCCCCAGAATGGTCTCTGGTTCCCTGAGCGGCTCCTGCTTGTCCAGAAACTCATGGGGCTACGATAGCTTAGTCTACAGCAATGCTGTTATTGCTGATGTCAAAGCCAGGGCCTGGGTGCTAGTCAAGTACCTCAATCCAGAGCTTATTCTCTCTGCCCTCTGCCCACAGGTTTCCTTCCTTCCTTCCTTCCTTCCTTCCTTCCTTCCTTCCTTCCTTCCTTCCTTCCTTCCTTCCTTCCTTCCTTCTCCTTCCTCCCT